GTGGAATGCTGATCCTTCCACTCCCACTCTCAAGACAATCCCTTCTCTAATATGTTCCAGGATTTTTTCTTATCCATATTTCCTTTCTCTTATATTTTCTGTCTCTCCTCATCAACAAGAAACACATTCAAGTCTCTTCATCCAAAATAAACCCACATTCCCTAGGCCTGTTATCTCCATCTCCCCCTTCTGTTCTCTAACTAATCTATTTACACTCAGTTCTCTTACGTGGTCTGCATTTAATTTTCTTTCTCATTTTCTCAATGTTCTGCAAATTGGCTTCAGATCCTATCCCACACCAATCTGTACAGTCAGTCCTCCACATCTATGGATTCACCAACCATGGATCAAAAATATTAGAAAAAAGTAAATAAAAAACAATAACATCACATTAAAAAATATAAATTAAAAAATAATAGAATATAACAACTATTTATATAGCATTTACATTGTATTTGATACTGTATAAGTAATCTAGGGATGATTTAAAGTAAACAAGAGGATACATACAGCTTATATGCAAACACTATACCATTTTATATCAGAGACTTGAGCATCTTCAATTTTTGGTATCTGAGCAGGTCCTGGAACCACTGCACCACTGATACCAACAGACCACTTCCTGTTGCTAAATGGAGAGTTCTTAGTCCTTAGCTTACTCAATCCTTTTAATTTACTTCATTTTTATATATTTGATAATTTCCTTTTTTTTAGCACTTTCTTTTCTTAGCTGCCTTGATAACATTCCCCTGGTTTTCCTTTCCTTCTCTGATCACTGTGCTATGGTCTCACTTCTTCCCTGCAGATGTTGGTGCTACTCTGAGTTCTTTGGAAGCATTAGCAGCATCTTATTTGTAGATGCTCTGCTTCACCCCCTCTTCAGGCTTTGTTTAACACTGATGTTTTAATAATTTATCTATAATTGCTCAAAGAGTTTGAAAGTTACCACCTTCTCAATGAGAATTTTGTGATGAGTATTTGTTTTAAAAACATCTATTAAATAACATGGTGCATATCTTATACTTAGTAATAATTCAGTTAAATAAAACACATAACTAGAAATTTAACAAGTCAAAATTACCTTTATCACCAAGGTCTCTAAAAAAAGTTGATCCATAACCAGCTGTTTGGATTCCTGCCAGTGCATCCTCGATATCCTTTGAATACACATAATAAAATCATTCAATTTAACTTACAGAAATTCATTTCTATCTTACCAAAACCAAACAAAAAACCTTTACACATTATTTACCTTTTTTGTCAGCTTCTTGACTGAAGTTTTACCTACAGTAAAAAAGAAACATTATTTAGTACTTGTATTCCTTGATAAAATTCAACTTACACTAAGAAAGTCATTTAAAAAAAAAACCAAACATTTATAAAAAATAAAGCTTGAAATTTTAGCCAACAGCCTTATGTAAAAGTATGAATTAGAGGATTCTAATAGTAAACCCAAAGGTGCTATAGTCTTCTATCAGAACTATTTTGATATATATAAAGTCTAATAACCATCTTTAACTTATTCTGATTTCTTTCTTCACATGATTATTAAAATCAGCCTCTTTCAATTTTCACTGATCTTAAACAATCCTTATTCATGTTTTAAAAAGCTATGTTTTGGGGGCGGCACTTGTAGCACAGTGGTTTGGCCGCATGCACCGAGGGTTGCAGGTTTGAACATGACCCAGGCCAGCTAAACAGCAATGACAACTGCAACAACAACAACAAAAAAAGCAGGGTGTTGTGTCAGGTGCTTGTAGTCCTAGCTACTTGGGAGGCTGAGACAAGAGAATTACTTAAGCCCAAGAGTTTGAGGTTGCTATGAGTTGCGATGCCAGGGCACTCTACTGAGGGTGACATAGTAAGATTGTCTCAAAAAAAAAGCTATGTTTTTGAACCTGGGGAATTCTTCTTAAGCTTGCAACTCTCCAGTCAAATTTGAAAGCCTAGCCAACAAGACTATCTATTCTGAAATGATGTTACTTTAATCTCCTATTAGATAACAAAGATTAAAAATTCTTTCGGGTTTTCAACCACATTCTTTACTGTTTACATAATTTTCTTCCTATTCACCATAATCCTAAAGCCATCACATTATTTCTTTTGCTGGGACTTATTTTTTTTTTTTTT